TGCATGGTTAGGCATTTAGGATTAATCATACATATTATTGTTTATATTTTGGGGTTAATACATGCTATTTAACTCTAAGATCAACATTGTTTTGCTAAAGGTCTGTTTCAATGACTGGTAAGAGCTTAGAATTTCCATTTTTTTGGATGCAAAGAATGCAAAGAACAGCACAAATTACTTTACTTTGAATTTGATTCAATATAAAACCCCCATGCAACAAAAGCTTTTAAAATGCTTATCTAAGATATGCTTTATCTATTTGCCATTTTCACAGCAGAACTAAGAAATGTTTATGTGGCTTGTCCAGATTTAAACTTTTTTGCATGTGCAATCTTGCTTTGTTTTTAAAAAAATTAACTCATGGGTGCCTATTAACAAATGTTCATATTTTACCTCCAAACACCTAGTTTTTTTCTAACTAAAAATATTTGACTTGACAAGTTGTGATGCTAAATTGTAGTGAAAATAAACAGTAGGCAGGTTAAAGTAAACAATACAAAAACTGGGGGAAAAAGTAGCAAAAATAAAAAAATGTCTATTAGATTTCCCTATTCAACTGCTTTCCATCAAAATAAACCTTAGGCTGTGCATCATCATTTGTGTCTTTTTTGATGTTATAAAAACACCTAAAAGGTATTTACAAATAGGCTGGACAGGAAGTGCACCCTTGTCAAAAATACAACATAAATTGACCAGACCAGCAAGACCAATTTCTAGCTTTGATCAATAGACTCTGTAGTGTGTGTTAATAAATAACAATATAGGTTTAGTTGGAATATTTTAAACTTTGTCTAAATACAGCATACATGTGGGGATAAATTGCACAGAAAAGCTTTAAAATGCACACAACTGTCCTCATCTTATTCCCCATAAAAATAGAAAAATTGATTTCAAAGTCTTATAATCAGGCTGCATAGTGTTTTCTAATAAATTAGGCTTAAGTACTATAGACAGACAAAGACAGAGTTTGCTTACAGTGCCAATGAGTTTTAGGTACAAAAAAGTAATTTTTGCTGATAGAACACACTCATATTGTTTGTTTTATTTTTAACATTGCTATAAAAAAGTGAAAATTGTAAGCTAAATGGATTCTATGAACATCAAGATGGTGGGACAATGATATCAATATACTAAAAAATAAACAGAGAGAACAAAAGGTATAACCACACTCAGGGGTGGCTGCATGTACATATTACAGTTTTTTAAAATTGTTCTATGCATATCAATGTCTGAAATAATAACTAGTTTTCTCCAAGGCAACCAATCCGATTAAAGCCCATCTCCACATTTGGCAGCCTGCTCCATGTTGACACTGGTTGGCCCTCTTTTCCCAGGTAGAATTATACTCAGCATCATTCAGTCACTTCCTGTGAGCCCCAGGGTATCAATGACACACCCACTGGGGGAGCATTAACATGATGCCCAGGCTGGTCATTCATCACATGAATGACTAGAAGACACTTGAATTTAAAGCAGGACTCCAGCCAAAAATAGCAAGATAAAAATTAATATCCAATTTAAAGATACAATAATTAAATAAGGTTTTGCTGCAATATTCACCTTCAATCCTAAGGTTTCCAACACAGTGAATTTTCATTACTCCTAGATGTCCTCAGGCTATTGGCCAGCATCATTCAATCCATTTCCTTTGAGCCCAGGTCGTCCTGGACCAACAACAGAGTGTAACTGGGCAGTGGTATAAGAAGCAGAGCAGTGATGAGCTTATCTCTCGGTCACTCTGCTCTGCTTTCTATTCCTATCTGCAAGCTTCTTGTGAGTATATGAATTTATTTGATCCTGGTGCAATTTGTTCCTTTGCCGCTGTATTATACAGGGACTGTAAGAGGTTGATTCGAGATCAAATTCAGGGACTTCCACTGCTTGCATAAAAAAAAAATATGTATTTATGATTTCAGAGCTGCATTAATTTGTCTTTTTTATATTTGCCTACAGTTCAGCTTTAAGAAGCTGAATTTTTTTTTAAATGACCGCGCAGAAGGATTCCAAGGGGGGAGGGAACAGGAGAGGACTGGGATGGCTGCAAAAAATGGAGTTGGGCTTAAAGCAATGACCTGATTGCTATGTAGTAACAAAGACAGTTCCTTTTTGCAGACAAGTTTATTTCCTTTATAACACCAAGGCATCAGCAAATGAGACACCTCACTCACAAGGTTATTGGGAACGAAGAACTTGCAATTTTGGCTGCGGGAATAAATATTCCCTTTAGCAGAGTGCAACCATCACAATATCAAGATCAGAAGCATCATAACAATTTTTAAATTGAATATATTTTAATCAGTAAAAACACATAAAAACAGCTTCTATTCTGTAGACTGTTGGTGATCATGGTTTTGGTCTTTTAGTTACAACATTTTTCACATTTGAACATAAGATGTCTCACTCTTTGTATAGCCTCTTGTGATTAAGGCAACAAGTATTCACTGAGGATAAACCATAACACTAATGTATACTGATAATAGTGTGGTACTAACAAAAATACTGTATACTTTTTAATAAAAATAATGATGTGAATACAGTAAAGATGATATGAGGTGTAAATTTTTTGAGGCCCAAAAAATCTATAAGTTTCATTGCTCTTTTATGTAAATCAAGCTATATTTCCATATTTACTACCTCTTATGTCAAGCTGACATTAAACCTTGCTAAAATAATAAAAATACTGCACAGAGGATGTCTTCAAAGCATCAGTATACAGAATAATAAATATAGTATTTTTTTTTAGCACATAACAATACCTGCTATTCCCATTTTAACATGTTGCTTTATGTTTTATATCATAACCTTGATTTTAATAATACAAGAATGATAAAATAAATAAATTCCAAATTATAATTGTAATAAAGTATCTAGATACAAGTGAGTGCATTTTGATATTACTTGTATTACACTTCAAATGTTATTTTACTGAAGTCATTAAGCTTGACGTGCTGTAATTACTTGAGCCACACACTTTACAGGTTACTGAACTTATGCCTTGAATTTTCTACAAGTTACCAAGAAATAGCTCAATGCACAGATGTGTTTTAGTCACTAAGCTTAACATTTAATTTCATGCAGACTGCTTGATTGAAAAGAATTTGTTCTGCACTAAGAAATGCTTTCTAAAATATTTTCTCTTTAAAATATTGAATTGCAGTGCAATGGCCCTAAAGAGCTTAGTTGATATATAATAGGGCTAAAACATACCACATTTGGATAATAGATAATAAATTATTGAAACCATATAGTGTTGATACTCTACTTTCAAATAACTGTTTGTTCATTGAGGAATGATAATTAGCAAATAAATGCAGGATGGAAGCATAGCAATTAGAAAACTAAAGAACAACTCTGGCAATTTAAAACAACTTTCCCTTACAGTAGGGCTACCCCAGCTGCACGTGTTAAGTGCTTGTTTTGTCTACAGGACTCAAATAAAGCAGATATACTCACATGACCCTTGGTCCCACAGTGGTCATGACTCACCTCTTTCCTCCTCTGCACAAGCTGTGAAATGTTCCCCGTTATCCTCATATTTAATACAAGTCTATGGACCTACATTAGATGTGATGATGTCAGTGATACTTAAACCACTGGGAAGAAGAGGCTGCAGGGACAAGGTTTAGCAGCCCTGTGGAAGGATGAGTATATTTGCTTGTATAGAGTCCCCTAGAAAAAATGAGCACCTGACCCTTGCAATGCAGGGGTAAGTTTTTTAAGTTCCTTAATTTCTTCTTTACATAGAAATGCATACAGAGATAACTGTTTCATTGCCAGACCAATGTATGATTATTCTGTTCTTAAGGTAAGTTGGTAAAGTAGATTTACTAGAATAAAATAAAAATTAGTATGGAGAAGCCACTAGGGTATGCTTATAAACAATAAAGCTGGTACTATATAACCAATAATACACTGATGTTCAGTGCATATGGTGCTAATGTGCTGTGTATGTTGGACATCCAAACAACTTCCCCTTTGTTCCCTCTGTTCCTGTAAGGTACACCATATACACACCAACATTTATTTGCAAAATTAATTGAAATAAAATATAGATAAATGATTGGCTTGCTAAGCAAGGAACTGTGAATGTACTCTGTGGTGTTCGCTAAATAAATAGGTATTTATCACTGTAATCTCTATTCCAAAAATATATGAAATCTTTATTGCCAGCTAGCTCTTGAACATATATGTACAGTATATTTTTATATGTGTGTGTGTGTGTGTATATATATATATATCTATATATATA